CTTTATTCTTCTTTACATTGTATTCGAAGAAGGGATGCGATACCTAGAAAAATCCGTGCTGCTTAATTATTAAATGATTAATTGATTGATTCATTCATTTCTATTTGACCTTTCAGGTTATGGTCACAGAGCTCCCGCAACCACTCTTGGACGTTTCGTGTGTATTGTATATGCTATCATTGGAATACCGCTCACGTTTCATATCATTGGAGATTCGAGCAAACTGTTGTTTCATCTGATCGGAAAAGCCTTCGTCTCGCTGTGCTGTAAACGTAAACAGAACAGCGGTGGACAGAGAAGCGAGCAGGGGACGCATGCGTCGATGAATGATAATTGTCTTTCCGATGCAAGGCGAGCGACCGGTCCTATGAGTGCTTCGTCCAGTAGACGACTCTCTCCGCACGCGCAACCCTTATCTCCCCAGGCGACTGTGTGGGTCGCCGCTGTCGACACACAGGTGTTGTCGCACAACCGGAACATTCGAAAAAGCGTAAACCGGAGAATACGCAAACGGACAGACACCCCGCGACCTCCAAGACTTCCCATGATGCTTATTTTCATTGTATTAATCTGCTTTATATTACTGGGTGCTCTGTACTACTGGTGGTGGCAGGGTTGGACTTATTTCACGTGTGTTTATTTCAATGTTATATCTATTAGTGCAATCGGATTCGGCGACTATATGCCACGTGAAACTACCGACAGTTTTCTCAGTACAATGAGACTATTCCTATTTTTCAACATCAATTTCATGGGAATGGCCATAGTGACGGCGTATATTACGCATGCGCAAAAACGCATAGGAAGGTCAACCCGGAAAATAAGTAAGAGCTTTCTGAATCTAGGAAACGTGAGGCGCGAAAGCGAAAGCGACTCTGTTTCCAGGCAAGAGGAGAATGGACATGTCCTTTCAAATGTAAGACAGAGGAATTATTGGTTGTACAGCAGTGACGATGAACAAACATGACGAATGGAGAACCGTGAAGCCAATACGCGAATCTTATACAAGTAAATCAAAGTGACCAAACAGAGTTGCGCATACCCAGTTACGTCTTAACGTCATATAAGCGTTCGTCGCTGGAGGGCGCTACTTAATAATAATAATAATTTCATACAACAGGCTGATGATTTTGATCTAAACAATACAATGCTAAAATAGTTTTAACGCATGTTGAGAATGTTGAATGTGTTAGCAGTCTAATGAATATTTAGCATCTATCTAGGGTTTTGTCCAGCCTGGATTTGAATTCTAAGATTGGTGACGAGATAATAAACTCTGGTAAATTAACACTTCTGAAGATTAAGCTACGCTGCTTAAGTTCAGTTTTACATGTTCTTTTCTTCAACTTTAAACTATGTCCTCTATTGGGTTTGTAGACATAAAGCTGTGCCCACATTTTGCTCAGTTAGATCATGGAAGGTACTATCCATGCATGTAACTGTGTACTACGGAGTACCTTTCATGGTTAGATACACATAGTGTGTATATTTGTACACTTCAATTATATCATCTATTCTATAGATTAGAGATTACAGACGCAGCACATAAAGACTCCCAACATACGACATACGACTTATCGGAAAGGTACATGCATTGTTAGTATATTCAATCATTGCGTCACCACGCATAGAATAAGTACATTGACATCGTGTTAGTCTATACGTGCGAGTCGGGTGATACTGTCGGTGCAGGAACATGGGCAAAAACTCTCTTCATTTCACGCAAATCATATCCAGTATTTCAGATATTAACATTTAAATCACAATTATCACTAAATCTTTTATATATTGTAGATTTCGGGGTAGTTGTTTCATAGTAAGATATCTGCTCCATTTTACGCATGCTGCAAATAAAAATCGTGTGAGGGCGTTTTCAATTTATCTGTTGTTTACATAAATAATTTCACTAGATGTAAGTTTCAGCATATTTATTCGGTGTAATATTCATGACTAGTGAAACAATTAAATTCGATTGTAATTATTACAATAATAACATAATAACATTAGCATTATTTTCAGGATTTCATTTTTCTATTGACATGTGATTTTTTTTTGACCGAGACTTACCAGGAGTCAATTACAATGTATCGCTTAAAAATGTTCTGGTTTTCCACTTCAGTCAGTAAATAACGAAACATGATGCCAAGTATATATCTAACAGTGCTGAGCTTGTTCAAGTAACTTGTGGAGTAGGATTCTTCGGATGATGACAAGATACAGAAACGACACCAGCTATTGACAGTTGAACAGATTTATTGAAACACTATTGAGACACTACCGAGACAACACTTATATACATTCTTAATTTTGGCGGGAAGGGTATCTATTACACCATTATCATTGGTCAGTAAGGATGCGCTATGACTGGCTGTTTTTTTACATCCGGCCATATGGGATTGGTCACATAGGGGAGACATATGATTAGGTAAGAGGTTAAAGGTCGCTGAAGGCCGAATCCTAAACTGTTACCAAGCTCGGTGATATTGATTTCCAACATAACTTGCAAATGTTGATCGATTTTAAAGTTTCTATAATTTTCGCAGTGCAACCTATACATGTATGTACGTTCATGGACCAATAACACAGTACGTCCATAGTACGTCCAATAGTCAATTGTGGAAATCTTTTAATTTCATCTCAAGACTATTTTAAATATTAAATTAGCATTGGAGGATTCCCGCTTTGTATTTCATGCCTACAGGAAGATGCAACTTGAAGTATTATGTTTAGTAATAAAAAGGACCTTGTTACTGTCTGTGTGTCACAAGTGTGGATCAATTTATGACGCGCATATTCAAATATGGACAGGCGGATTACCAATAATCGGTCTAATATCTGTGTTAAAGCGGGAGTGTCGTCACCTGCGCACGCGCGGGAATTGAGTCCCAAGCGACGATAACAATACACGGTAAAACGCAAAGGCTCATGGGTAGACGCTTGTTTGTTAACAATGACACGCAATGGCCATCTGAAGCATGTGCAGGGTGAGGACCCCCCCTCCCGCTTTGTGAGGTCTACTAAGACGAAACTCGATCATAACGAAAATAACAGTGTCAGTTGTTGTGCGCCCGCAATGCACTAGTACAAACCTCGCTATAAACACCACACGTTCACCAGTTCTACATGTTTGCCATGGTCAAAGCGTGATATGTTATTTTAAAGGACGGTGGTCGTCGCGCAGCGCGTGTTCGAATTTCATGTAAATAAACAATGTATATTACTGTCACACGCAACGTATATTACCGTAATGGTATAGTA